GAAATAATGAAAAAATCAGTTATTTTTTTGTCACATAAAAAAAAAGACAGTTATTATATTAAATTTTTATTTATTTAATTAAAAATCAGCTCTTCAATAATTATTTTCAATTAAAAGCTAGTTTCTATTTACATGAAATCATGACAAAATTGTTATATCATATAAGGAAAAATCATTCACAGCTACATTACTTATCAGCTAATATGTTGTAAATCATCCGAAGTATTGAAATATTTTCTAAACTACACAAACTAATATATAATACATGGTGACATACACTAACTATATGTAAACATGTTAAAAACTACAAATTAGATTTTTTTGATAATTTTAATTCTATTTTGGGGTCAATCTGTAATTATTTTCTAAAAAATCATTTAAAAAATCAAAAAAAAAATCCGAAAAGTAGAGGAAAAATCCATAAAATTTTACAAAAAATTAGATAAATTAATAATTCAATTTTCAACTAAAAACACTAAAAAAGAAATTCAATTTTGAAATTAAAAAAAAAATTAAAATCCCAAAATTTCTAAGATTCATAAATATGAAATTTACAAAATAATTATTAAGTTTAACATTTCCAAAAATTATTATAATACAATTTTTCAAAAATCTAAAATTTACCAAAATTCAATGCATGTTATAGATAATTATACTTACAATTTTGAATACCATAGTAGGATATGTTCTCTTGTCTTTTTGCACCATTAGATCAACCATAAGGTTTCCAAAATTTAATTTAGGATTTACGGATTTCCAAATTGGTCGCTAAATTTTAGGATTTTTTACAAATTTAATTTGGTTTCCAAAATTAATTATTTAAAAAAAATTTGGGACTTTTTTTGGCAAATGTAAGTTTTTGGAATTTTTTTTAAACTTTCAAATTTAAGATTTTTAAACTTTAAGATTTTTTGAACTTTAAGATTTTTAAACTTCTAAAGATTTTTAAACTTTAAAGATTTTTTTTGTAATTTTAAAAATTGTAGAAATTAAAATTTCAGATTTATTTTGTAAATTTCAGATTTTTTAATCTTAGAAATTTTGGGATTTTACAATTTTTTAAAAAAGATTTTCAAAAATGAAAATATTTTTAGGTTTTTGAAAATTAAATTATTATTTTATCTTATTTTTTGAAAAACATTATGGACTTTTTTCTATTTTTCAGATTTTTATGTGTTTTCAATTTGTTTTTTGAATTTTAAATGATATTTTAAGAAAATAATTCCACATTGATCCCAAAATAGAATAAAAGTTATCAAAAAACTCCAATTTGTAGTATTTAACATGTTTACATATAGTTAGTGTATGTCACCATGTATTATATATTAGTTTGTGTAGTTTAGAGAACATTTCAATATTTCAGATGGTTCCAACATATTATCTACTAGTTGGTGTAGTTAAAAATGATTTTAAATACTATTGGAATGAAGAATTGTAGATTTATCATACATTAAAATCCATTTTCAAATCAATTTC